AATTCGACACATCTTTTTTTTTAATTTTTAAGTCTGGACGATTGTGTTTTAATGAACACATCCCATAATTCTTTACAGTATTCAAAAGTAAGGGCAAACTATAGCGTTGTATAGACTGAATTGTTTATAGAGTTTATACAGAATTGTTTATCATCAAAACCTTGTAACCTCTTTATAACAGAAATCGTTGATGTGACTTTTTTGCAAATATTATCAGTGCTATGCATTTCCACAATAAATTTTTGTCAAGTGGAACCCGAAAGTATTAGACTCACCTATTCTTTCGACACGATGGTGTTCAATAATTTAACATTTACTTTAAGATACGAAATATATTATTGCATTTCTTTTCAGTCAATTAAATAAACTCATCTTAAGTGACGTTAAGACTAAGCTTATAAGAAATCATCCATTTTCTAAGGTTTTTGAAATCAGATTGCACGGAAATTGCCAGACGAGTATGGAGTCGTCAGTATCAATATCTGCAAAAAAATTGAATTTTTGTTTTTAATAGGCATTGACACAATCCTTGATGTATGGCAAAAAAATCAATGGCCCTAAATATAGAATCTTAATTGTGTCACTCCACACTTAATAAATTTTTCTGACAAAAAAAATGTATTTTTTTGACAACTCTGTGTATGATTTAAAACAAGAATCAAAGAGCGTCAAAGCGTTTTGTTTTATACAATAGAGCTCTAATTTTTTTGTTATCTAGTAGGCCAAAAATAACAGAGGAAGTGATTTATTTAGCCCCAAATAGCTAATTAAGTAATGGTATTGATAATTTCTTTTTGTGGGAATTGTAATCCAAGAGACTCCATTTGATCTAATCTTTCTATGATGAATTCGATTTGTGCCCAGGCATAGATTTGTACCACAGAGCACGCTCACGAGTTTCGTCACAGAACATTGATGATCAAATGATTCTATTCAGCATTGCTTCTTGTTCCTAAAACTACATTTGACAATAAAGCTCCCAGCGTACGCTCGAGAGTTTTGGATGAGGGCTCATGGACCAATGGGAACACGAATGATTCCAAGAAGGTTGACGACGATAAAAGGAATGTCATAGGAAAGAATGTTTTATGAATTGCGGTTTTTGAAAGGTGCTTCATTTCTTCATTCAATTTCAAACACCGCACTGCATAAAACATTCTTTCATATGACATTCCTTTCACGAGAAAACATGAGCCCAACAAAATTGACCTGCTCTCAACTGTGTGACTTCATAGCTCAGTTGGTTAGAGCAGATCATATCTTCATTCAAACTTGACTACGTTGCCGACCTGGAATCAGCTTTAAAGTACACCAACTTAAAAGACCAAACGAAAGAAGACATTGGTCACAAGATCACCAATAACCTTGCCACAAACCACCAGTCACCCTAAACAACGAAGAACTACGAGCAATTAATAACCTACAGAACGACGACCAAATAATCATATTACGAGCTAACAATGGACGCAAAACAGTTATCATGGACAAAGCCAAAAGCCTCCTACAAGACACCACCACCTACGAACTTCTCCACACAGACCCCAGCAAAACGATCACTAACCGCATCAACCAGAAACTTAAACAACTAAAAGACAAAAAGAAACTAAACGAAAACGACTACAGAAGAATCCGACTAAATGACGCATCCACCACCAAATTCTACGGACTACCGAAAATCCACAAAGAAAACAACCCGCTTCGACCTATCGTATCGCTTACAGGATCACCTACGTATGAACTTTTAAAATATCTTTGTAACATTCTCTATCCATTAGTCAAAAATCACCTCACACCATCAGAAATGCCACCACTTTCCTCGCCCGTATTGAAAACATTAAACTACGACCAGACGAAATCATGACATCCTACGACGTGACATCACTCTTCACATCCATACCACTAGACATAGCCAAACAAATTACAAACGAACTACTCACAAACAACAAAACTTGGTAAGCTACAACACAACTAGACAAAAATGACATCCCAGACTTACTCAACCTTTGCCTCTCAACTGAATTCGCCTTCCAAAACACATACTACAGACAAATTTCAGGCATACCAATGGGTTCACCACTATACACCCTCCTCGCAGAAGCCGTTATACGTCACCTCGAAAAGCAATCAGTCATCAACAACGCATACATCAGACTATGGAAATGATATGTCGACGACATCTTTGCCATTGTCAAGAAAGACAAAACTGAACAAGACCTACACACCATAAACAATACCACAAAGAACAAAACCTTCACTAAAGACGAAGACCACGACAAACAACTTACTTTACTCGACATCCTACTGCACTACTTATACTGCAACTACTTATACTGCACATTTATTACAAACAATTACCCTAGAAACTTCACAAAAAAAACTATAAACAAAATACAAAATAAACTACAAACCGACAAGAGCAACAAGAAACCGGACGAAACAATAAAAGTCGTGACATTACCACACATAAACAGAACATCAGATATGACTGCCAGATTTCTTCGACCATTTAATATTAACGTCGCCTACAAACCTACACAAAAACTGAAATCGTGTTTCACGAAACATAACAGATACCAGGCCATAGCCTTTGTTCCCATGACCGGGGAAAGCAGCCCGTTTTACCAAACATAAAGACAAAACATCAATTCATGATACAACTGACGCGATCTACATGATACCATGTAAAGAGTATTCAAAGCAATACATAGGACAAACATCAAAGAAAATCGAAACAACACTCACAGAACACAAAAACGCCATAAAACGACGAGATCCGAACTCACTACCGGCAGAACACACCCATGGAAACAACCACACATTCGACTGGACAGAAACTAAAGTACTCCTACGCGCAAAGACTAAACGCGCACGTGAATTCAAAGAAGTTTGGTACAGTAAAGACAACGACACAATAAACAGACATATCGACATACCCTTCATATACTCACAACTAAAGAAAAAGGACAATAAAACTAAAAAACAACACCAAAAGTACAACATCACTCTCTAATAATATTAACACCGATCTTATTCACAATACCCCATAACCCATGGCAACGCAATTCATGCACCCATCCAATCACATTACTCCACCCGCTAATCCAATTGGACGCTCTATGCGTCTACAAACTAAAAGCAAGTGTAAATAGATAAATTCTCCTACCGATGAAGGCTCGAAGCAACGAGTCAAAAGCTCAATAAAGTTATTTGTGAAATCCGGAGAAACTTTTATTTTTGAGCAATGTAATACCTGGATTACCAATCACATGTATATGCTCTTCTTAACTTCTTATATCCAAACAACATAGTATGCACAGTCTCGGCGTTGGCAGATCGTAAGCCATCTTGTCTGCGATTGCTATTTTGCTACTTTTGATTTTGTACGACAAGTAATGGACGACATACTTCTTTCACATGAAAACTGGCTGGATTCATGATCGATTTTAACGATCATGTCTAAACATATTTAAACAATTGGAGCAGATTTACAAGTTTTGATGCTTCAGTGAATTTTGAGTAAGATAGTTTTTACTAGATTTTGCAGGATTTTTCAACACACCTATTCATATGGCATTTTCGCGACTACTTGTATATATATGTACATGTATACATACTTTGTTGGAGTGTTTGAGTACGACATTCACAATCAATGCAAAATTTATCAATTCATACAATATTTGACATAACGCGCTAGCTATGTTTGTGACTGCCTGCCATTCGTTGGGGATATTGTGTGGAAGAATGAGAAAATTATTTCATTTTGGAATTAAAGTCTTATAGCATCATTCCATATGATATATTGTCTAGTAAAGTTAAAAGTCTAAAATATGAAATACTGAATTATCTGGCTTGCAGTGATGTACTGTGCAACCACAGGCATAGGTATGTTTGTTATTTTCAGATAACATCTCTAATTGCCACTTAACGTAATTAAATCACAAATACAAAACATTTTCTAAGTATTCTTACGTCTTAATAAATTTAAAACAATGATTAAACAAGTCACGTCTTGTTATTTTTCTTGCGAAAAGCGGAAAATTTTGCCAATAAATTCCGGACTTGTCAAAATTAGTCGACGTTGTTTGAAAGACGCTTATAAAAATATTTATTAGACTCAGAGGTTAGACATGAAACATGTCTAGTAAGTTCTATAGAAGTTAAAAATAAATATAACAAATTCCACAGGCATTAGTGCGAAAAGTAAATTGGTTGTCGACTGTCGCCAACGCAATTACTGTAGCTAAAGTTAACATAGTTTTTGTTGAAGATTTTGTGGAGAGTTGAAGAGGGCGAGAAATGCAACGTTTTGTTTTTACCTTCTTACAGTAAGGTGATTTAAGCCACAGGATGTTTTTTATTGAGATTTTTTCGTACATTTTTGGATTGGAGTTATACTTCCTGTTGGTTTTATGGTGACTTATTTACAGGCATCCATACAAATTCTAGATTCGCTCTTTAATATATGTTCATCTGACGATAGATATGAGAGACGACAGTCTGCAGAGTTTGGTAATTTCCAAAGTACACAAAATTTAACAAAACATTTCTATCTTTTTATGTTATACCGAGTTTTATATCCATTAATGACAATGTTTTGTATTTGACTTTCACAATCGATGCAAAATGTAAATATTCATAGGAAATTTGACATACTGCGCTATCTTTGTGACTGCAAGTCGTATGTGTGGGAAAGTTATGTGAAAAATGAGAAAAATGTTTCATTCTCGTTTCAAGTCTAAGTAGAACAATTCCACTTAGAAATTTTTGTGTCGTGAAGTTAAAAGTTTAAAATATGAAAACTTTAGCATTGCAGTGATGTACTGTATATTTCCAGGTATAGAGACGATTATTATTTTCAGATTACATTTCTGCCACGTAACATAATTAAATTAAAAATACAAAGCAAATATTTCACTTTCTAAATAACTTGCGCAACGTTAAATTCTGCTTATGAATATTACCGGTAGAATAATTTATATAATTGTCATGAACAGTCTCAGCGCAGTTTGAAACAAACTTTGAGAGGAAAGTCACTGAAAAATATAGAGGATTTTTCAAAAGTTATATATTTTTTAAAACTAGCAGGTTGTTAAACTTTTTTAAATAAAACAATTTTAGGTGTTAAACCAGTTCTGTCGTACAATTCATTCGTGTGAATGTCAACAATGGCGGAATCGACTCCTTCAAGTTCTTCGGAAGGCAATGAATTGAATGAAATGAGCGAACAAGCTCAGCCAGTTCTTGTTACGTTTGATGATGTGTCAACAGCTCAGTTTAGAATCCGAGATAGTGTGCCTCAAACTCCTTGCGAGGTAACATAATTTTGTACGAACATAATTTCTAATGAGATACGTTTAATTCAATGTCGTAATTATAAGCAAGTTACAAAATGTCACAAAGCGGACACGTTTTACTGAGCCAATAAATCCTGGACTTGTGACAATTAGTTGACGTAGTTTATTAGACGCTTCGAAAAGATGTTTATTATACTTAGAGGTTAGAAAAATTATGGGTCAAAAATGAAGAATACTTACCAGTTACGGCCAGGGGCGGATTTAGACTTGAGCAAACGTTGCAAAAGCAACAGCCAGAATTCTCGAAAAAATCAGTCGTCAAAAAATTGGATAAAACGATTTATTTTACAAATTTTGTATTGATGTGCAATGCAAGTAAATTCAATTAATTTTTAAATTGAAGCAATTCAGTGATTAACATGAAGTATTTGCTCATAAATCAAGTAAACGCGATCGGTGATCGTTGTCAACATTGGACAAAATATACTAGCAAAAGTAGAAATTACGCATAGGCATATTCATAGTTGCATTTTATTTTCAAAGTTTTTAAATTATTTTGCGCAATGGATACGAATTACTCAAACGATTCCTCTAGTAATTATTCTAGAAGCGGTGTTTCAAACTACGAAGAAATGATTAACGATCAAAACATGATTCAAACATATGCTTATGAGCCGATTGAAACAGATTCTAGCGACGAGCCTATGGACGACGCCGACGAATTTGCCGCTGCATCATAGAATGAATCCGCCAAACCGCGCATTGACGTAGCGACGAAAAACCGCTGCTGGACGGCGGCTTCCCTTGCAAGTACACAATGGCGATCGAACAAGAGGCAAAAATAAACACATTTAAGGCATTATTTCTCGAGTTAAATTTGAATTGGAAACCTAGGATTTCGCGAGAGAGGTAAGAACAATATACACTCTCATATCAGTGATGGTTGTGTTAAGGTCCGACTACTCCTTTAAAGCGTAAAATTTGTTTATTTACTTTAAAACTTTAAGACACCTGTTCAAAATGCAAATTTTTACCAAAATTATAAATGTTTTATTATCAAGACAACGACAACATGTCAAATGGAAACGAGCGGGAAAGAATATCACCGGCAAAGATTTGAAAATGGTTACAATTTAAAAACGCCTCAAGATAAAATATTAACAGACGGTGAATTTAGATTACATGTTTGTAATTGGGCTTTAGATCATTATTTTGGTGGCACAAATACATCTGATTTTCTTAATGGGAAGTCACATTTATCAAAAATCAAATACTTGGAAGAATGGAATAAAGCTGTAAAAACCGAAACACAAGCAAACAGAGATAGAATACGCTCTTCGAAATATCAATTGAAACAATTAAGAGAGGAAAACAATTTAGAACAACAAAGAAATAACAACAATTTTTATAAATTACAAGGCGAAATAGAAGAAAGAGAAAAACGACACCGTGAAGAAGTAACACAAGCAGCAAGAAGAGGTAGAAATGAAGCTTCTCCTGAAATTGAAAGACAAAATCAACAAGAAAATCAACAGTCTCGACAACAGCAACAAACTTTTACTACAACTAATGATGATGACGAAGAGCAACGACTTCAACAACAAGAGATTATATATATTCCTGATGATAACGAAGAACAACATAGCGAAGAAAATCAAACAGAAGAACAACAACAATTTAGAAATGATGATTTTATAACACATTGTAGAAATAATGCACATTATATTTCAATTTTTTTAAATGATTTAGAATATTATAAAAAATGTAGATTAAAGAAAGAATTTATTGATGATTGTTTCAATCATGAAAGTAAAGTTCAAGCCTTAATAGATAAATTAAAAGCAACGAATCGACAGCGAAACAATAGATTTCAACCATATTGAAAATAAAAATGTAATTTAAAAATATGAATATTATATACAGTTTTGTAAGAAGTTCATTTTACAAAAATGATATATCACACTATTTGTCTTTAATAATTCCAACTTCTATTAGCTTTTGTGATATAATAGAGTTGTCTTCTTGGTTAGGAATGAGACTAAAGATCTCATCAACTTTCTCTTTTCCCTATAAGTGTTGGTAGTTATAATATCGATAAAATGGAACAAGTATTGCGAGAAGATAATCGATGTATACATTTATTGCCGCTAGAAGAAGAAACTGCACGCGAAAATCGTCGTATTGATAATGATATTAGGGAGTTTTAGCAGAGCCTACGAGTACGACTACGAGTACGATTTACGTCATTTTAGCGCGAAAACATTGTTGCGACAACTAAAACACGTAGCCGTCATCAATCTGAGTACGATGTTTTGTAAAAAATTCGTAGTCGCGACTACGATGTCTTTTTAAGCAAAGAAAGTAGGTATATTTCTTCATTCTATAAGAAATTAGTATACAGTATTATTTTCGAGCATCCAGGCTTTAATTTAGAACCCTTTTTGAGCGCAGATGTTCATTAAAAAGGAAAATATGACCTGCAAAACTTTCATGTATTTCGTACGCAAAGTGAAAGGTAAACAAACAATAAAATAGCACAAATATATCGTACATAAAACTTAAAATAGTGAAGATTTTTCAGTCTAAAGAGTCCTATATTCTCGCAAAACCAGTATTATCGATTCATTGATAACATTATTAACAAATAGAGCCGTAGCTGCTTCGCAAACGTCGGTGTTTTACACATTAAAAAGGCTCGTTCTGTTGTTTACAACTAAAGCAAAATTTTGACGAAGCGACAACGACAACAAACTTCCTCGTGCCATTCCCTTACACGGTCAAATTTCGTACTCGTTGTCGTAGTCGTACTCTTGCTAAAACTCCCTATTGATACAGTGTAACAAGCAGACGCGTCCAATCAACTGCAGCAAATGCATAATGTCATGAGGTCCGTGGTGTTTGTAATGAGGGTTTTAGTACAAGTAAGTGCCAGATTAAGTGGAATACTGGTGAACAGTGATGTCACATCAAAAGACACTAGTATATAGTTGTCCGGTATTTGTATAGTGCACAGTTTTTTAATGAAAGTTACAGTGGATTGTAGCTTGTGTTTTGATTTGTTTGAAAGTGGTTGCAGTATAATCAGAGAATAAAAATCGCAGTTATACATTTAACTATGCTTTTATCATACAATGTTGGTTCAACTTTTATTGTAATTATCTAAGAGCCTACAAATAATTACTAATGAGTTTCCACCTTCAAGCCAATGAAAATTATCTGTATTTGACGTCATTTTTAACGTGACAACTGACAAAACAAAACTTATATTGGCGGAATCTTGCTTGATATTCTCTTGTTTTTCAAATTATTTTTTCTTGATTTACTAAGACTAACGAAGTAAAAACGTTTGAAAAGTTTTACAAATATCAGTCAAGAGTGTTTTCATTGAAAATTTACGGGAAAAAGACGAAAGCATACTCAAAAATGATTTAATGTTGAAGCACGTAAAAAATGCTTCAGTATTTATAGCATAAAAGCTAGCTTCTGCTTTTATAAATGTATAACGAAACTTTTTCTGAATTCGGCTTTTGCACGATTTCAAGAATCATGAGAAAAATTTTTAATAACGTGCTCAACTCATTAAATAATTGTTAATTATTAAGTGATAAGTATCAGTTAACGTAAAATGGCACACTTTCATTTGCTCAGAAAGATTTTGCAAGCCACTTCTCTCCAGTGATGGATTTTGCGCTTCGTTAGCCACGGCAGTGGGAGTGTTAATAAATGAATGTTGTAAAAATTCACAGAAAACAATTAATTTTAAGTGAATAATACAACAAAGCTTCATTAGATGAGTACCCCCGGAAATTATAGCACTGGCAGCTACCGTTGGCATTTATTTCCTTATTTAATTGTCAGTGTCACTCGTTTAAGTTTGAAAAGGAACAAAAATTATTGACTTCTTTAAAATGTCTTCATTACATAAATGTCAACGTTATCCCTTTTTAGGATTCATTTTGGGTGTTTTTACCAAGAACCAAGAACTAATGAAAAATCGCAATGATGCATTAGTTTGTCAAAATATTAGAGAATTTAAAAACTAGGCAATACACATACTTTAAGATAATATGCTACTTTTGCAATTACCTTAAGACAGCACGGGATTGAGTCATAAAAGTAATAAGCTAGTAAATGGGAAATGCTTTTATATTACGAAAAAGATTTTGTTATGAAGAAATTATTTAGTAGTTTTTGTTTCTTGTCGTCATCTTCTAATTCTTCTTCCTCTTCTCTCCTTTTTTCTTCTTTTTCCTCCTCTTTTTCCTTCTCTCCTTCTTTATCTTTTTCTTCTTCTTTCTCTTCTTGTTCCTCTTCTTCTTGCATTTATTTGCTCTCAAGTTCTTTCGAATGTCTCCTCGGCTTAAATACATGTCCAAGCACAGTGCACAGTAAGCATCTATTATTTCTTAAATGACAAAATGACAATCCACGTTGCTTTTCCCAAGAAAATATATGCTTAAGTTTTCAATGCTCAAGAAATGCTTTTTCCAATGCCTTTTCAAAAATTATTTTTTTCAAATTTATGAATGTCTTCCGCATTTTGATAAATTCATGAATGCCTTCAGTCATTTTTAGCAGCAAAAATAAAAAAGCCTTAAATAAATTCAAACACGAAGAACTCATTATACGAAATTATTTTTTAGCACTGGTATAATAAAGAAGGATATATGATGAAGACCTCTTCGTACGCCGAAAAAACTGGATATCTCATGTAGATGAACGATGGTTTTTCATCCAAAGATTTTCTGTATCAAGGAATCGTCGTTAACATAGTCAGCAAGGATCTGTCCTGTTTACTGACAAATATAGTCTGTTATATTTGACAGCTAAAGAGAAATGGGAATGGTGCTTCTTCTAACTTCTGCTTTGGTGTAGCCATGGATCTAACGTAGGAGTTGTACTGTCATTAAAAGCATAGAATACAGGTCACACCGTAATTCCTCACCTATCGCCCCACAAGAGAAGTTTGTCTCCAACACAACACGTTCAAAAGAAAATTTTCAGTCGCAGAAAATAGAAACTTCTTTGGAAGCCTGGAGGCTAAGTAAAAAGGTTTTTCCTTCTACATGATTTCTTACATGGTGCTTTAATATTTAGAAATACTTGGCTTGTTTTCACTTGTTTACTTGATATACTAAAGGATTATTCTTATATGTTTTGACAGTAACACGCAGAATTAAATCGAAGAAGAAAACACCAACACAATACAAAAATCGTTTTACTGCTTGGGATCGTAAAGTATTACCGGGGGGAGTCTTTCTCAAAAAATTGATGTAAGCATGAAATTCGAGTGCATCGTAATAAATGATTTTAATACTAATTTTTGTGATTCAATAGATTGTTCTGCTTTTAAAAGATTTTGCATTTATGGTGTTTTACAAATACACGAAATATTCTCTGGGTGACTTGTTTCTCCATTATGGCTGCTTGCTTTTCGGAGTCAGTTTTTCCTTCTTTGGTATAATGGGGCTAATGTACATTATACATGTTATAATTTCTAGAAATAATTAATTTCAAATATGTTAATGTGTTAAAATTTATATAAATGAATATTCTCCCATCCATCCAAACGTTTACAAATGAATATTATCCCAACTAATAAAACTTGCATAAATTATTGTTCTCCCAAGTATAAAACTCGCTTAAATTAATGTTCTCCCAACTATCAAAACTTGGATAAGTAAATATGCTCCCAGTTATCAAAACTTCCATAAATGAATGTTCTCCCAACTATAAAAACAAAACGTGTACAAATGAATGTTCTCCCAACTATCAAAACGTGCATAATTGAATATCCTCCCAATCACCGAAACTTGCTTGAATGAATATCCACTTTTAGTAGTTATAGCAAACTTTAGTCAAAAAATATGTACGTGGGGTGCACAGCTGGAAAGCATCTTTTATGTGTCTTCACCCTTAAAGTGATATCACCTGAATATAGTAACACTTGAAGAAATAAAGAAATTTCAGGATAAGAATTATTTCACCAAGAAGCACTTTAGAAATAGCTTGGACACAAAAATCACATGGAACACATAGGCCTAATATATGGCATTTCAGGAAATTGGTTTTACCTTCCAAATTATTAGTTAATATAAACAATTTGTCTTTAAATGCTTTTTTTTCATAATTCTTAACAATATGTGGCTTTGATGGTTTTAAAAAAATGGAATTTAAAAATGCAAAGCTCAAAATAAATCGCGATTTTGCTGCCAAGCAAGAAACCCGATGTAGTCTTCATCGCAGAAACATAGCTTACATGATGCTTGTAATCTTGAGATATCTGAGTATAACATTGTTAATAAAAACAGAGCTTTTGGACTACCTGGTGGTGGTGTATATGTCCATATATAAAAAAAATCTATTCAGTTTACAGTTCTTGACTAATTTTTGTTTTACCACGTTTGAGGCTTTCTGGGTTAAAATAATGCAAACCAACTAGTTATAAACTAAGTAGTTAATTCACTTACAGCAATGGACATTTTTATATTTTTGGTGTGAAGTCGTTTTGAATTGTTCTTTTAATAGACTTAAGTTTTGCCATCTTACGGATGAATTCTGATTACCAGAAACAGCTTGAAATATACCTAAATGATACAACCAAACATCGGACATGATCTTAACAAATCTTTATAGTTTCTACAATAAGAATTCTATATCAGCTTTCCTTCATTCAATTTATCAGAATATTATGTATTGTTATCTTATCAAGGCGTGAGATTTACTTTTCCTAACATTTAAGCCAACGAACGCCTATTTTATCTTATTCAACTTAAACAAGCAAATGAAACAGAAGTTCCACACTCTGATATTGTTAATTTTTATGTATAAGACCAACTCTTAACTATGGAGCTAAGGTTTTTTTTAACAAACTCCCAAAATACCAAAGAAACGATAATAAAATTCAAACATGTTAATGAAAACAATAAAAATCATAAGGCCGTATCTTTGCTTTTACATAACAATAAACTTTTAATGTTTTAAATTAAGTTGCACAAAATAATTTGCCACGTATCAACTCAAAGGACGCAACCATTTGACGCATAACTTTTCAGAACGTTAAGTGATTTGAAAGATCGAATATTCAAAAAGTTTTGAGCCATAAACTACTAAAAGTTTTGTGAGATTAAAAGATAAATAATTATCGTGTGTGCTAACGATCTGTAAATGATATCTTAAATAAAAATTGCTCGTCATCTTTAATTGATAAACTTTTAATAAATATTGGTCACCCCCAAGTACTAAAAAATATACGTCATAGATACCCGTAGAACTTTGCAATGCTGTAATTGTACACCAATCAAACCAAGTTACAAACACAAACATATTAACTGCTTACAAAAAAATCACTGTCATTTATATAAAGTAAGGCGTGTCTATCATGATGTGCTTAATTGTAATTTACTTTAAGTTTATAAAAAGTGGTTTTTGCCTTTTAGCAACGTTATTATTTTGGAAATGTAGCTTTTTTTAAATTTTTATCAATGAACCATTTATACTAAAGATTTCGACAAGCACAATTTAAACATTCATGACATATAATTGTGCAATGATATTGTGTTATTCAACCGGCAAGAGCACCACTAGTATAAAAATAAAAGTGAAACATCGAGCTGTAGTTTTTAACCAATCGCTCCCAAAGTACCTTAAAAATGATATAATGTAATATAATTTACACTTCTCATTTCTATTGATGAATTCGATCCAAATTAAATTCAAGCTTATAAAGCAAAACAATGAAAATCATAACGCCGTATCTTTGCTTTACATAACAATAAACTTTTAATGTTTTAAATTCAGTTGCACAAAATAATTTGCCACGTATCAACTCAACGGACGAAGTCATTTGACGCCTAACTTATCTAAACGTTAAGAGATCTGAAAGATCGAATGTTCAAAGCTTCAACTGTCGACCAGTAAAAGGTTTGTAAGACAAAAGATAGAGAATTATCGTGTGTGTAAACGTTGTATAAATGAGATCTTAAATTAAAGTTGTTCGTCAAATATAATTAATACACTTTTATTAAATATTAGTCTCAACCTAATACTATGAAATACACACCATAGATACCCGTAACAACTTGTGATCCAGTAGTTGTATACGAGTTAATACAAATACAAACAATTTGTTTACCAAAAAATCACTGTCATCTACCGGAAAGCCTGTTTATCATGATGTGCTTGCTTGTTAAGGAATTCAAATTGCTTGCTAGCATGGAATTATATTTTTCTTTTGGTCCGGACGGTATGTTTATAAAATATTTGTTTTTTCATTATATTTGTGATAGTATGAAATGACATTTATGAATCAGGAAGAAAATTTAGTTTGAAATTGCAAATGCACTCGTGCATGTAATCATTGAATACTTTAGATATTTATATCGTTTTGGAAATAGAAATATTGATCAGGAAGTGTGCTATCTTTGTGATAAGCTAGTTTGTAAGTCGACATTTTAAATGCGGCTAAAGACTTTGCTAACCTTTTTAACGTTACAATTGTCTTTTGTCAAGCTTTGGTTGCGAAGGTTTATGTATGCAAATTCATCGCATTATAGTTACAATAAATTTAAATTTAAAGCTGATATGAATATTGCAAATTATTTATTCTTTTTAACACTTCCACTTTATGGTCATATCTTAAACTAAACGAGAAAAAGTTGCGAAATCTGACATTGTAAATTTTCATACCTTGAGTATGTAGCTGAGGCTTATCACCACGTACTTACTTCCAAAATATCTTAAAAACGGTATAATTTATTAAAATTTATACTTATTTCTATTGATCAATTCGTTCCAAATTATATCCAAACTTTTGAACAAAAACAATAAAAATCATAAAACTATATCTTGGCTTTACATAACAATCTATTCTTAAGATGTTTTAAATTCCGTGGCACAAAATAATTTTCCACATATCGACTCGAATATAAGATGCTTAAGTTGTCAGAACTTTAAATCTTTCTAAAAGTTCAAATGTTCAAGGCTACACGCCGTTTACAAGTAAAAGGTTTGTAAAAAAGAAAACAAAGAAGTTTTATGCTTGATTACGACGTATAAATGTGACACTTGGAAGCTTGTGGGAAATTTGAAAATTCCGAGAAATTTTAATTAGTCCATCACTTAAGGTTGATTGTTCATCCAAAACATCACAATTACTTTTATGTGCAGATTTGCATACGTTATTCTCACGATAGGAAACTTATTGCTGTTACCACAGCTTGTTTGTTTGATTACATTGTTAAGATATTCATTATTGGCTTGCGTTCTGGTGAAATTTGTTATATGTTGGATTGCGTGGATGAACTTGACCGAAAGTGTCCAAAAGCTGAGTGCCTGAACTTGTTCTTTGGTACTTTGTGTTAAGTTGCTTCAGTTACAAACGTTCATCTCCGCATTTTTTTCTGGAAGTTACCTGTTGTGTACGATTTAGAAACCTTATGTTTACTTGTAATCAAAGTGTTTGTCTATTATGATAATATTGATGAACTCAACATACCTTTTTGTTGAAAACAAGTGTTGAAGCATATTTATTCTTAATGCACTTCAGAAAGTCCAACAATCTTCCGTTAGGCGTTCTATCACAACAGTGATATTCAAAAACTGCACTTCTTTTGGTAACATTTCGTAAATTTGTGCAATTAAAAGCACAATCAGAGAATGAAAATCCTAATTATACTATTAAACATAACATTTTTATACAATGTTGGTTCAATTTCGATTGTGATTGGCTGAGAGTCGGCAGATAATGTCTTTCCACTTACAAAACAATGAAATTTTTTTATAGTTGACGTAACTGTAAGCACAAAAAGTATTTTGGCAAGATTTGCAAGCGTTTTCCAAAGAATTTTTGCTCGAATTTTTTAGAATAAAGGGTGAGTAAACATGTAAATTGTTAAAGTTTCAGTTTAAATAGATCGATTTGGTGAATAATTTATAATCCGATTGGTAAAATATTCTTTAAAACTTTCCAACGAAAAAGCGTTGATTTTAAGGTATCTCGAATTCAAAATAAGCGAATATGATGTAATTTCTTGGCTACGTTGCTTTAACTTGATAAAAACAACTAAAGTTCACACTTACCTAAGCAAATGTAGTAAGAACGCGTTCCAATGAAGACGACAATCAACCACAATAAACGACTTTAAAAACCACGGGGATGAAAAGGTCTGAGGTCCGTGTATGTTCTATCCCCTAACATGTACCCAAGACGTCAGCATTAATATTTGATAACAAGTCATTTTCTGGTGTGATTAGAAAAAATACCCTTATATTCCTAAAGAATACCCTTCTAAATTGTATATAAAATTTACATGTGACTGC